CCAGATAAACAAGGGACTAAGCCAAAGGAAAATGATGAATGAATGAACGGTATACTTAATATTCAGGGGCAGAAATGATGCACTTCCATACTCAACACATTAGATTTAATTCAATGTGTTTAAAATGAATAGGAAGAGTTTAAAACACATGAATCCAAACACACATAAATCCAATTTGGTTTATTCAATTCACCTATAGCGCATGTCTTTGGACTGTGGAGAAAACCGGAGCACCCGGATTAAACCCACGCCAACACTGATAGAACATGCAAACTCCACACAGAAATGCCAACTGACCCAGCTAGGACTCCAACCAGCGACCTTCTTGCTGTGAGGCAAAAATGATAACCTCTGAGCCACCATGTCAGCTGCAATCAGAATTCATACATTTTATTTGTTGGGCCTAATTATTTTATTTTATTTTTTTGAGTGTAGAGTTATAACTGTGTAATTTTTAAAATAAAAATCTATTGAAAATATTATAAAAGAATTAATGTATTAAAGGGCACCTATGATGAAAATCATGTCTTGTAAGCTGTTTGGACAGAACTGTGTGCAGCTATTGTGAGTCCACAGTCATATTGGAGTGATAGAAACACAACAAGACTCTTTTTTTTAATTTCCTGACATCAAAATAGGATCTAAATCCCTTTCACTTTGAGGCTCTCCACAACGTGACATGGTAATGTGATTTCCCAACAAAATCTCACGACAATTCGTAACTTTTTGATTTAGTGGCTAGTTTGTATCAATTCGTACGATCTAATTCGTAAAATTTTAGTACGATTTGCTCATCCCCCAATTACGGTTGGGTTTAGGGGTGGGGTTAGGTGCCACGCCTCCTTTTTGAGGAGATACAATTTCATACGACTGAACTCATACGAATTCATACGAATTAGCCACTAAACTAGAAAAACGTAAAATACTTACGTTTTCTCATGAGATCATGCTGGATTTCCCCACCCACCGAATTGGTTGACAGCCGTGTATTAACATGTCTTCGTATAAACGTGTAATCATATCAACAAGACAGGACGTGTGCAAAGCAACTGGGATTAAAAGATCTGTTAAGCTCTCTGTGATCATCAATCATCATCGAATGTGATCAAGAATGAGTTTTACAAGGTTAAAACGTTTTTAAAACGGTGCAAGTTTGTAATGAATTACAGCGATTTTATCGTTTTCAGTTGATCACCAGAGCTGCATGTCAGTACAATTATAAAAAAGATGCTTCAATTCAGTTTTGTGAACATTAAATCAGGTTTATTTTGTACATTAACATAACATATCCATACAGCAGTGGATATTAACGTGGAACCTGTCACATTTGTTGTGCAAAAACAGTGCAAAGTTAAACGCATGCACTGTGTGTGTGTATGTGGGTGTGAACTGTGTAAGGACATTGTGTGACTCATCATTGCAGAAAGGCTTGAATCAACCAGAACAAATACATCAAATAATCATTAGGACAGTTCTTACTGTAGTATTTCTCACAAATGTTATGTGAGATCTACTTCCTTCATGTCTGTCATTATGCTGTTTATCTGATGCAGCCGAGGCGGAGATTGAGGCACAGTCTGACAGGCATATTAGAACAGTGGGCGGGGAGAGCTAGCATTAAAGAAACGGGCAACAAAAGCAGCTACATTGTGTTCAAATAAATAATAATCTGATGGGTGTTTCGAGCTGAAACTTTACAGACACATTCTGAAGACACTAAAATACGTGCCCTTTAAGTTGCTTGTGGTGGAGACTGATTTGAGAGAGCAAAAATAATAATACCAATAACACACCTTATCTGAAGATGTCAAATATGCATATCTGTATTCAAAAAAGTGGTCATTTTATACATGAAAAATAATAGTTTTGGGTATTAAGGTATATGATAAACATCCCAAATTAATTGTGAAATAATGTTCCATCATCGTTCAGATTAGAAGATTCTGTATATTATGTAAAAATGAAACAACAAACTTGTTCTAGGTATTACTTTCTAAAATTAGTAAATGTTTTATAATATAATATTTAAAATAGGGCAGTATGATGGCTCAGTGGTTAGCACTGTGGCCTCACAGCAAGAAGGTTGCTTGTTCAAGCCCCGGCTGGGTCAGTTGGCATTTTTGTGAGGAGTTTGATGTGTTTGATGTTCTCCCCGTGTTGTTGTGGGTTTCCCCTTCCCATAGGTGAATTGGATGAAAAAAACTGGCCGGTATGTTTGTGCGTGTGAATGTAAGAGCGTATGGGTGTTTCCCAGTGCTCTGGTGGGGCTGGAAGGGCATCCGCTGTGTAAAACATATGCTGTAATAGTTGGCGGTTCATTCCGTTGTGGCCGCTCCTGATAAATAAAGGACTCAGCTAAAGGAAATTGAATGAATGAATATTTAAACTGCCAAATAATTAGTATCTTGGGGCTGCACTGTGATCCTTAATTAAAGTCTTTCAATCAAAATATGATCAAATTTAATTGAAGTTTCCATAAAAATATTCCTGTACTAAAGATTCTGTTTTCTAAAAAACTATTGGTACACTTAATGCTATTTAGTGGGTGTCCTAAATCATCATAACAATGTAGGACAGCCAATTATTAACTGATTTATTATATGTCAAATTAAACAGGACAGATAATAGGAAGAAATAAAGCTGTATTTTACTTATGCATTAAAGTTTAAAAAATGTGGGTGATACTTAAATACAATAAGCTTGTATTAGTTAATACAGTTGCTCATTGTTAGTTCATGTTAACTCACAGTGCATGAATGTTAACAAGCATGTATTTGGATGTAAATAATACATTAGTAAAAGTTGAACTATGATTATTAAATGCTTTACAAATGTTGTTCATTATTAATTCATGTTAGCAAATACATTAAAGAGCCCCTATTATGGGTTTTTGAGAATGACCTTCCATGTAGTGTGTAACACAGCTCTAAGTGAAGTGAAATATCCAACAAAGACTAAAATCTGAAAGTGCACAGTGTTTAAAACGAATGATTCAATTATAAAAGAGCCGACTCATAGTGCTTTAAAATAAATCGTCTTGATAACAAGTGTTTAGCCATTTCGGCATGATGTCGATACGAACCTTAAGCCCTGCACAATTGTTGTGTGCGCAAACCAGGGAAAATTTGTGGTTGAAAATATGGGAGTTTTCCGGGAAAAATAACAAAATGGGTGGGTGGTTGAAGATGGGTCTGAAATACGGGAGACTCCTGGGAAAACAGGAGTGTTGGCAGGTATGCTCACATATACACTATGCACTTTGACTACTTCAATAGAGTAAAACGCCTAGCGCGGCATATCAATAATGTCTTGTGCTTAATTCTGTCGACTAATCGCAACAGGCAGTCGTCGGTCCAATCGGCGCAGATTAGCTTCACACTAAGGAGAGGTTTGGGAATAAATGAATTGCTGAATGATTTACATGGGAGTCGCTGAGATAATTAGGTAAAAACAAATGCTTATTATAAGTCAATGAAAGTGTTTTTTGACCTTACACACATATCAGCCTGTTGTTGGAGACACTTAAAACTAAAATGTGCAACACAATCTCACAGCAATTCGTAACTTTTTGACTTAGTGGCTAATTCATATGAATTCGTCAGATCTAATTCATACAATTTAATACGATTTGCTCATCACCCAATGACGGTTGGGGTTAGGGGTGGGGTTGGGTGCCACGCCTCCTTTTTAAAATCGTACATTTTCGTAATTCGAACTCATACGAATTAGCCACTAAAATGACAAAAAGTAAAATACTTACGTTTCCTCGTGAGATCAGGCTGAAATATGACCTTTTTTAATGTATAATAGGGGCTGTTTAACTAAAGAACCCTTATAGTAAAGTGTGACCAAAATATGATGCTTGAATTGTATCTTATATATTGTTTAACACCTTCATATTATAGCTTTTTTCATAAGACCAATAGCAAAGTCAATTCATGCACAATAAATATAATAATACCTTAATGAAGGCAGGTATTATAATGTGTAGTGTGCGTATTTGTGTATTTTTCTACAGGAGCTCTAGTGGTGTAAAGGAGGTAGAGGAGCAGACTGTGAGATTGAGGAAGTGGTTTGAGGAGCAGATGAAAACCGCACTCCAGTCACACACACAGAACAGCCAGCAGCTGCAGACACTACTGCAGGACAGACTGGTAAACACATACAAACACATTTGTGTCAATGCACAATTCCCAGTAAATGTAACAAGTGAGCAATGAATAATACGACACAGGAATAACAGTTGTGGTCTCTAACTCAAACTGAAGACAAATGAGAGTACAAATACTTACATGAAGTTAATTATAGTCGAGATCAAAATTAGAGAATAGCCAACAACAATTCTATAGTAATATCTGAATATAGAAGGGTTCTGTTTATTACAGTGCCAAAGCATTTCCAGCGCAGGAAAATGTTGAGAATCCCAGTGGGCAATCGGGTAAACTCTGTGACGAAGATTTTTATTTACTAAACCTATATGAAGACACATTTGATTGGGTGATTGGAGGGCCCTATGCATCTGCCATTATATGTCTTTGAAAACAGGTGACAGGTTAAGGCAAAGGGGTCATAAAAGAGCGACTTGGGGACACAATGAAAACCAACTGTGTCAGAAAAGCATGAAATGTATACAAAATATTCTCAGCGCACTCAGAGAGAGAGAGAGAGAGAGAGAGAGAGAGAGAGAGAGAGAGAGAGCACGTCACATATGTGGTTCCTCCACTCACGTCTTTCGGTGGATAATTTCAGATTTGTTATTTTTTTTTTTTGTTATCCTCTTTGATTCAAATATGGTTTGCAAGCATCCCTCACAGCCTTTCTTACTTTGTCCTTCCATTTGGTCATGTCGGCTTACATTTTTTTTTGCAGCGGACTTGCCTTTTAATGTCCTCTTAGTGGACATTAACATTCAAGATGCAGACTCTTGGTCATGCGAAATATCCCCTAATGTTTCTGTATACAAAGTTCACACATACAATTAATGTCACATGGTTATCTAATTTTTTTTTTTTTTTTTTTTTGCACACACTCAAATAAGGAAATGGCCAGCTAATAGCCCTGTACTAAACCTGACTGAAACTTTCTGGAAAAACCTTATATCAAAGTTATAAACCAACTCAGTGGGACTGAAGAAGAGTGGATCGAGATGATTATAAAGTGTGAAAGAGTAGTGTTGCAATTTTATTTTATTTATCTTATTTCTCTTATTTTCATCACTGTGATAGTTGTTTCTTGAAGTGCTTTTATGGAAAAAATAATAAGAAGAAGAAACTAAATTCCTACAAATTTTAAACAAAGAAGATTATTTGTCTATGTTGAATTTCTCTCATCTATATCCACATTCAAACTGTTATGATTTCTATATATATGGGGCATAGGTGGAAATGGAAGGCAAGCAGAAAGAGAACATGGTTATTCTCTCTGGTCACCTGGAGAGGTTTGAGGCAGCGCTGGAGAAGGTGCGATCAGCTGACAGGATCAAGCGCTCGGAGAGCAAAATCTACAACAAGATGAACATTCTGGAGAACAGCTTCAGAGAAGACCTAGAGCAGATGAGAAGAGAATACCAGTCAGGTGAATCGAGCATATAAGCATCTCAATTATTAAAAACATCCTTGATTATACTACAGTTATGTTGACAAGTTTGGCTCAGTATTGGTAAATGTGGTTTAAAATACATGTATTTAATCACAAATATAAAACAAACTGTAATAATTGTGAAATAGCATTATATTTATATGTAGCTGTCCTCTGCTTAGATCGTTTTTATTGTGGAAAGATGCACTTTACCATTATTCTGAGTGTCAATGAATTTTCTGATATATTTCTAATATGCAAATTTGATGCTCAAGACAAGTTTATTTAATCATTTGCCATATATTTATGTTTTGTAATTGCATTACGGGACCTTCAACTTTGCTCCATCAACTGTTGATGTTGAAAATTTAACTGCAGTTTAACAGTGTTTTTATTGGCATTGATTTAAATACAATGTTTAACAAATTATATATATATATATATATATATATATATATATATATATATATATATATATACAAATGTTAATAAAAGTAATTATGTTGAACTATTTACTAACAAACATTGACAGAGCAAAGATCAAAGCCAATGTTGCAATTCACAAGAATAAATACAAGGAAAACACGAGTAAATCACATGCTAAAAGAAGCTTAATATGTTTTACTGTGTAGTAGATACTGTAAATGAAACACTAAAGAATATCATATACCTTTTTGTCCAAGTTTGGCAGCTCTCTAGCACACATCTGGTCTAGATCAACAAATTGAAAGCCTAAATCAGAAAAGAGCAATTCCAGTGTTATGGGAGAGACATTAGCAGCAAAAACTGGAAACGTAAAATTCACAGAGATCGCATGTGACCACAGCATATTGAATATTGTTGATATTTTCCAAAACAACTAACCACAGAGTTAAAAGATTAGAAAAATATGAATCTGTAAATGCATTTTTTGTATTTTAAATGAAGCAAATTAAACATGTCATGGAAGTGATTAAAAAAGTACACGAGTTTACAGTACACAACATACACTGTAAGAAAAGCCTAAGTTCCACATAATTCTTTCATGTTGTCTCAACACAAATCCGTTAAGTTAGTTTAATCGTTTTTACAAATTTATGTGGATTGAACAATTAAGTTGAAAAAAAAAACTTAAGAATTGTGTCGTTTCAACTCCATTTAAATGAGTAGTTTAAACAAGAAAAAAAAATGTTGAAAGTGCAAAAATTCTATAAACTAAACTGCACAATCCTAAAGAAAGAATACTAATCAAAAGGATAAGAGTTGGCTCTCCATGGAACAAATTAGTTTTATTTGACATTTTTGATTTTATGAGAAAAAAAAGCTGTTTTGGAAATGACATCTGTCCATTACGGATGTGAAGTCAGCACTTGTGTGACTTTGTAAATCCCAAAAATAGTTTGAAAATGCTGAGAAAGACATGAGTATTTTTTATAGTACTGTAAAATATAGGAGAACCAAAACAACTTAGAAAGGGTTCGCTATTTTGGTAAACTTCATATTTTTTATGGCATAATTTTGCATAAAATTGCTCACAAGCAAACTGAAAAAATAGCTGTTATTATGTTGTTCCTCAACAGCAGATTGGAAATCTTGCTTGAGCAGCCTGATATGCAAGATCATCCAGTCTGAGTGGTCCAATTTATCTCTCATGTGGCAGTTTTTCCAAAGCTGTTTGCATGGGAAATGAAACTGCAAACAGAAAACAAGACTCCAATTGGGACTCTAAACGCCTTTTAGTATCACTTAAGGTTTAACATAATGGCAAATCTGCTGGATGTCTTCCACTCAAGGCAGATGTGACATTTATTAGTTCATCCATATTTCCTCCATCTTTGAAAAGAAAAGTCACAGATTGACAGCCTATGATGCGTTTCAGACATTCAGTACAAAAGACCAAGGCAGCATCAATAAATGGAGAGCAAAGAAAAGAACAACCGTTGTAACCCAATGCCTCAGATCGCACAGTACATGACTTTCACTTTCAAATTCTCTTTGAGACAACGGACGGAAGACAGATGATGCATTATAAATGAGACATCTAACACATACAAGTTACTGAAGGTGAACTCTTGATTCGATTTGCCAGGGTTCCAGACTGTTCACGATGCCATTGAATCTCTGAGACACATCAGCGACACCAAAGCCAAGCTGGACAAAGAAGAGCTGCAGAGAGACATTAGAGAGATGCAGAGAAATATGGAGAAACTCTGACTGGAATATTATTTTAGAAGACATACAAGGTACACCTGCTTATATCTTTTCAACCAATCACCTGGCAACTTTATTCATTCATTATCTTGTCAGCTTAGTTCCTTTATTAATCCAGCTACTTATCCAGCACATTTTTACGCAGCAGATGCCCTTTCTGCCGCTACTCATCTCTGCAAAACATTCCCCCACACCCACACACACACACATACACACCCACATCCACACACAAACCATAGACAATTTAGCATACCCAATTCACCTGCACCGCATGAAAACCCAAGCGAACGCAGGGAGAACATGCAAACTCCACACAGAAACGTCAACTGAGCCAAATTTTAAACCAGCGACCCAGCGACCTTCTTGCTGTGAGGCGACAGCACTACCTACTCCGCCACTGCGTCGCCCCACCTGGCAACATAATGCATGTAAACATGATAAAGATGATCTACTTATGTTCAAATAGAGCATCAGAATGGGGAGGATATGTGATTTAAATGACTGAATGTGGAATGATTGTTGGTGCCATGTATTTCAGAAATTGTTCAGAAATCTCTAGGGTCTACAGAACGTGATCTCAAAAATAGAAACTTTTTAATGATACTAGCTAATATGTGGGTGAAAATGTGTCTGGTTGATTAGAGGAGAATGACTGGTTCAGTAGAAAGAAAGCTAACATTAGCTATTGGTTTTCATCCACGTTTTTTAAGCAATATTCCAGTTTTGTAAATAAGTCTAATTAGATTCTTTGGATGGAAACACACCTAGTGACTCAAACAACTGCTGGTTACAACCGAGGCCTGCAGAAGAGCATCTTTAAACACACAACATGTCAAAACTTGAAGCAGGTGAGCTACAGCAGCAAAAGAGCAGCCCACCTGTGAAACTGAAACTAAAAGTCACAAGGGCTTACCAAAACGGAAGCTTGAGAAAGACGTTGCCTTGTCTTGTTTCAACAGTTCAGGATGTTAGCGTCGTAATGCTATTTGAGCACACAGCCTACCTGATCATTGCTGACCCCATCAAACCAGGAAATAACAAGGTGAACCTTATGAAGTAGCTGGTGAGTATGTGATAAAATATTTAACCTGCCTGAGATCACCAAAGTATGATTCAGCAGAATGTGGGCAGATGGACAATACAATCAAATAAGCTCAAGATTAAAAGGAAAAAAAAGGATTTATCCGGTCTCATTGAGGTCCATTCCTGCAAATCTCTTTTTCAAAATCAGATTCTGAGTGAACAATCATAGCTGTTGAAATTCAATCAAGGTGCAATTACAGCAAATCCAAGATTAGATGTGCAGTACTCTATACTGAAAGACAAGGAAGATGAATTATTCAGTGTTTGTCCGCACGTCCCTAGGCCAGTATTGATTGTAACGGACTCTAGAATAAACAAACAAGATCCTTTTTGTTTTCCTTTTAATTTTCCAAGCCACCAATACTTGCAAAGCATAAATACTTGCAAACTCCATACTTGCAAAGCATAAATATTCCCAGCATTATAAACCATACTTATTTTTCATTTCCCTCATGTTCCTCTATGTGCTTTAATACTTCAGGACACACAATGGCTTGCAGTGGACTGCAGGTCAGTTGTGCACAGATGAGTAAAGGAAATGACAGCAGAAAAAACCGAGGGTCATTCATTCTGCCAGTGTTCCTGTAGGGCAAAGATAACTGTGTGTCGGATAAAAAGCAATTCATTTTAATTCTTGTCTTTTCTGCCCACAAACTGAAACACTGAAGAACAGACGACCCACTGCTGCATTTTCAGATGTGCCAAATAGGGATTTTGGATCAGAAGCAGTGCTCCTATAGAGATAGAAGTGCTTCTAAGAGTTATACAATAGATATAATAGTTACAGTTGTTTACAGTCAGCTGAGCCCTGTAGCGTTACTAATTATGAAGAAAGTCTGTGACTTAAGGGAAGGCACATAAAAATAATCATGAATCATTCATGTCATGTTTTATGTCTCAACGCCCATGTGAGTGCTATACAATAGGTATAGACTAATTGAATGATGATAAACTGCTGTTAAAAGAGCAGCACTTAGCAGAGATTATTTGCACATATTAAAATGTCCTTGGTAATGTAAAGCCTTCCGATTTGTAAACACATTGATCAGTGAGTAAACTGCTGCTACTGTAAGATGATGGTGAAGCGTCTGAGGATGGTGGAGTGTCTCAGCTGGATGGGTAGAGGCGCCTGTGAAAATCCACTAGTCTGCTGTCGCCTGCTGCTGTAGCCTTCACCAACAGAGTCTATAAGACCAAAACATAAAGCTAGTGTTAATGTTATTTTTAAAAAGTCCATATTATGCTAATTTAAGTTTATTTAACGTATGTTAAATTCAAGTTCATTGTGTTATTTTGGGTGTCTGCCTAAAACAGTTTTATTTCCTGTGTTTTGAATTATCTGAATTTATTTAGCCATATCAGATTAAAAACAAAGGTAACTTCCTTTATGAAAGAAAGCACAGAAGCCTGGTTCAGAAGATGGATGAAGGTCTCAGGACACTTTAACATTTTGAGAGTGAGTAAATAATAACAAAACCTTCGTTTTGGGTGGTTAACTACTGTCTCACAATTAGCTTTAAATAAGATTTTGTTTAAGCACAGTAGAAAAGATTAAAAGTGTGACTTTTTTGAATAAGTATTTAGTTTTTGAAATTATATTCATTATTACTGAACTTATAAACATAGGGCTGGGAGATATTATAATAAAATAAACGCGTGTTAAAAAGAATCTTAAACTTGTTAAATAAAATGTTACAAAATGTGCGCAATGGTAAAAGTAGATCAACATCTGTAAGGTGTCATCAATAATGATACAATAAACCTCAAACTCTGTAAACAAAACTAATTTTGATAATCAAATCTAGAGCTTTTAAGTAAAGAAACTAACCATCATTATTCAAACACACTGCAACATTACAAATTGTGAAGTTGAATGACTCTTTCAGATGGGGTGCTAGTGGCTGGGATGAACAAGAAAAGAAACCAAAAAGCCAAACCAACATTCTTACATCCATTTTTAATTTATAATGTCCTCACTGCTGCTATACGGCACTCGTTTTTGCATGTGTTGTTATTCTGACCTGAAGTGACAAGCGCAAGTGCGTGGTTTCCTTCACCATTTTTTAATGCCGTCTCTCGTAAGTAGTGACCATCAACCATTTTCTCAGAGGACGACCAACGGATAAACCATTGCTGCAGCTTCGATGCAAGTTTACGGAGAAAAGTAAAAAGCAATGTTTAGGACTGCTGTGCTGGTCTACCGTTATTACTGAAATTCCATACAAAGTGTAAGGCAGATTGGTTTGTTCTACTTTTAAGTTCCAATTTTTTTTAACTAGGTGTACCTGGAAAATGCTTGTGTGGCACATGCCGCTTGCATACCCATTTGCTCCCATGTGCATGATGTGCAAGTCACGCATCTCCATTGGAAATAACAAGCTTATTGACATTCCCCAAGGCACATGCTCAGCAGTCTATAGCCTTCATGTCGAAACGTCATACTGAACTTTTTTTTATCGTTATTAACAATGGTTTTCAGCAAATAAATATCTTTACAGATTTTATTGCCCAGCCCTATATGAATAGATTCGTTTTGCAGTATAATTGATGCACAAACATGTTACTGGAGCTTCATATGATTATACACAACTTGTATACACACAAAATAGTTTTTGGAGATTTATATTATCACCACTGAAGTCACATGGAATGACTTGACAAGGTTTTTTTGTTACTTTTCCTTACTTTGAATGTCTCTATTGCTGTCTGTGGAGGATGAGGAAGCTCTCAAATATCTTAATTTGTGTTTTGAAGTAAATGAGGGCGAGTAAATTAATATTAGGATTTTTATCTTCTGGTGAAATAACCCTTTAGCCTCAAATTTGGAACAAAACTTAATTAGATTTATTAACGTCTACCTTTCTAAAACATTTTTCTTGAAAAAAAAAAATTGTTGTGATTGGTCAAGTCTTTAGCCATAACAGAGTTTCTGCTCCAGAGACTTCATTAGCCATTGTATGGTAATACTATACTTTCCAGAATATAGTTTATGTTTATGAAATGTGCTGCAACTTATATTCCAAAGCAACTTGCATAAAGCAGCATTATTTTTTCTTGCATTCGATAAAAAAGCAGTGCCATCTTGACATTGCAAAATTACTTTAGACTGTATGGAAATCACTCACCCAACCAGCTAGCGGGTGGGTGGTAGGCAAATTTGTCATGGTGAAGTAGACAAGTCGCAGATATATTGCCAGGACTATAAATTATGTGTTTCATTCGAAAAATGAATCATTCTCTTTGTAAGGACTTTTTGTGTGATTCTAAATTTCTCAGCTCTCATCAAAAAAGTACATACTTTTAGGACGTAATATAGGTATGCGAATTGGGACGCAGCAACAGTTTAGGCAATTTAATATTTAATTAATGAATAATGAAATATTGGTTGAACCGATATATTGGTTGAACCTGAGTTTTCAGCATGTTTTATTGCATTAGAATTAAATCTGATGAAAGAAACAGCAAGAGTAGTGCAAGAGGATGCAATTGCTCACATCAATCAGCTCCAGGTCATCTTTGGCATGCAGGTGGCGCAGGAGGTACCAACGTGCCACTGATGCTATTGTTTCAGATCCACCTAAGGCTGAAGCATAAACAATCCTCTCCAACAGGCGACGGGTTTCCCTGCAGAACAACAAACCATAATCAATCTGATCCTGACCCACTTTAACCTCTGTTAGAGGAAGGTGACATCTTTCTTTTTTAACTTTTGTGTGCTGTTAGGGATGTTTTCATCCACTCTGAAGTGATTTTAAGGCTTAATTTGGCCACAACTTTCAGCAAATGGAATGATTTT